GGGAGGAGGGGGCTCCAGCTGGGGGTGGGGGCTCCAGGGTGGGGGTGAGAGCTCCAGCTGCGGGTGCAGGCTCTGGGGTGGGGGTGGGGATGAGGGGTGTGGGGTGCAGGAGAGGGCTCAGGGCTAGGGCAGAGGAGTGGGATGCGGGAGGGGTGTGGGCTCCAGGAGGGAGTTTGGGTGCAGGAGGGGGCTATGGGATGGGCCGGGGGTTGGGATGCAGGAAGATGGTGCAGGCTCCAGGAGGGGGCTCAGGACTCAGGCAGAGGGTTGGGGTGTGGAAAGGCGTGAGGGGTCTGGGAGGGAGTTCCGAGCTGGGGCAGGGAGTTCAGGCTCCAGGTGGTGGCGCTTACCTCAGGCGGCTCCAGGCCAGCATGTCCAGTCCCTAGGTGGAGGCATGCCCAGGCAGCTCTGCACAGTGCATGCTGCCCATGCCCCCCCACAGCTCCTATTGGTCATGGTTTCCCAGCCAATGGGAGCTGCGGAGCCAGCGCTGGGGGCGGGGACAGTGCATGGAGCTTCCCTGATTGCCCCTCTGCCTAGGAGCTGCTGGGACATGCCAGCCGCTCCTAGGAGCTGTGTGGATCCAGGGCAGGCAGCAAGCCTGCCTTAGCCCTGCTGCGCCACCACCCGGACTTTTAAAGGCCCGTCAGCTGTGTTGACCGGAGCTGCCAGGATTCCTTTTCGACCAGGTGTTCCAGTCAAAAACTGGATGCCTGGCAATCCTACCGTGACAGCAGAGCTGCAGAGAACTTCCTGCGCTGCCACTGGGCCAGTGACACCTGATCCTGCAGGAGCAAGGTGCAAGGAAGGCTGCAGTCCTGGTGGGGCGGGGCAGAGCAGAGTCCTGGCCAGGGGCCTCTGCCTCCCCCTACACCTTGCGCCTGCAATAATCAGAGGGCAGGAGCAGTAGCACAGGGCGCCCTTTGCAGCCCAGCTGTCAGTCCTACAATCTGATCATGTGGGTGGAAACTTATACCTGGGCCGAGTCCCTCTTGATTATCCAAACTCCCTATTATTCAAATAAAACCTGGATCTCCCATGTTATCTGGAAAATCAGGAGTATACCGTGTGAGCACTAAACAAGACTGATTCATTAACAACCAGCCCCGCTGAGGAGAGGTTTGTGATGATTTTGGTCAGCGTGGACAGTTAAGATTTCTGGTGGAATCCATACAGACCTTAATGGTTTGCATGGCTTCTACCTATAACCAAGCAAAATGTGGTGTTTTTAAGACAACATACAGATTTGATGGGGGAGGGTGTCACTTTAAACCAAAACTCATAGCAAAATTCAGGGACTGCAAACCCATGTGACCCATAACCCAAGAAAGGTTTATGAAAATCCCTCTGGACTGAAATCTCTGAGCACTGCAAAGCTTTATTCAGGATCCTTTTACTTTTCATGTGAAATACTGCACATCCAAAGGCACAATTGCGGTCTAATTCCACACTGGGCTTTGGTCCTGCATCAACTCAGAAGAAAATACAACAGATTGAAGCACTAACACCACTTTCTCCTATATTCCAGGCCTGACCTTGATTAGCTTGATAAACCTCATAAGATACTTTCAAACAGGGCGATTTTACCTGCCCCACACCCAAACACAATTCATAGGAGCTGCAAAACAATCCCTTTGTGGAAGTAACTTGAAAACACCTTAAAAACAGCTCAAACACAGGAGCTGTCACACCACAAAATAAATCCAATCTGGCAGAAACCTGAAGACTCACTAAGGAAGCAGCACATATTCAAGAGAAACCTCATCTAGAGGCTTGTGTTGATATGGTCTTGAAGGTGAATCATGTTTCTGTTGTAGCTGGTAGAAGGGCAGTAGTTATGACATGGGGTCAGGATTCAAGAGAGAAGGATTAAAGCAGAAAAAATGGGAGTGTCCTTTTGGCTCCACCAAATATGCAGAAGAGCCCAGGAGAAAAAGAATCAAATGAAAATTTCCACTTACAGCCTTAAACTGTTGACTGGAGTTGCTAAGAGCTATTGCAGAGGCAGCTACACGCCAGTGGCAGTTGAAGCGATCCTCATGTACAATCTGTCTGTCCCAGTCCAGTTTCCGTCCCATCCCATTCTCCTCACCTCGCTAGTTCTAGTCTCACCTCCTCAGGCTTTTCATCCCTGGCTCCTCACCTGTTCCAAGTGCTAGTCATCTCGCCCAATCATTCTCAGTTCTCTCTCTATCCCCTGACTCCTTTTCTCTGGTCTCCTCCTCTTTGCTTCCACCCCAGTTTCCACTGCAACTCCCATGCTCTCTAGCTTCCAATCCTAGACTCTCCTATCAGGCTTCTTGTCCCATTTTACACTGCCCTTCCAACCCATCCAGAGCTGGATTAGCCATCACTGAGCCCTAGGAAACCACAGGGTTGCACCTCTGTTCATGTTGTCCCATGCCACCCAGGATGATGGTGCAGCCAGGCCAAATCTGAGTGAATGCCATTGCGACGTGATGCACAGGGTCTCAGCACCACTCAGGTTTGGGCCCTCATTTCCCAACAAATTTGGGCCGTAGGCACATGAGTAGTTTGCCTATGCGTTAATTGGGCCCTGGTCTTATCCCCTGCAATCCAGCTCTTGTCTCCTCTGCATTCTAATCAGGAAACTTTTCTTCACATTGCCTGGGCCCAGCAGGTTGCCACTGAGAGCACAGGAGAGGCAGGTTCCCTGCTTTCGGTTCCAGGGCCAGTATGATTTTTTAAAAGGTTTATAACTTGGCCAAATTTGGGCAGATTTTTCATGGGGACAGCAAAAGACACATCCCTGATACATCTGTTTATACACAAACAGTGTAGTTCATGGGTTCTCAAACCTTTCCATGTTTTAAGTTCTCATGAGTACCTCCCCTCTGATTTGCAATTGAACAACATCTTTGTGGCAACTACAGCAATTACTCATGTAATATTAGGAAAGTATTCAGCATTTTTCAGTGCAATTTAGCAGCTGGAAACAAGGAAGGACAGTATCATGTGACCAGCCAGCTATCTGCAAACCACCAGCAAACATTTCACAGAAGAATGCAAGGAGCCCATGGCATGTGCAATGCACTCAAGTCTGCAGGGTGTGACACTCTAATTTAAATTGGAGTAACATCCAAAGTGTGTTAGGTACTGTCCAAACACAGATGCAGGCCAGGACTACACTTTAAAAAAAAGAAAAAAAAAAGCTCACCAGTATAGCGATATGAGCAAATCCTAGTGTGGACACAACTTATATAGGCAAAAAAGTGCTTTTGACAGTATAGCTTATACCAGTTTGGCAACTGAAATAAGCTACATCAGAAAAAGCACTTTTATGCCTGTATGACTGTAGCTACACTAGGGCCTTTGCCAGTATATAAGTGTCACACACACACACAAAAAGTCACACCCCTAAACAACATTACTATACTAGAAAAAGTTAAGACCTGGCAAAGATAGTGCTCTGTCTGAAAGTGCATAGAATTTTCTGAACAACTCTGGAATCCTGCAGAAGGAAAGAAGCTATTTTATACAGCCCTGTGACAGGATAATGTTACCTTACACAGTCCAGGAGCCAACATACCTAATCAGCAAAGAATTATGGCTTTAAAAAACAAGACTTTCATCAGGTTATTGTTTAAGACAAAAAGCATACAACAAACAAAAATATGGACAGTTCCTGCCACAAATTTACGGCTGTGTCTTCATAGTCGAAGAGATGTGTGTTTTCCACCAAGACATCTATCTCAATGTAAAGTCCTAGTGGAGTAAAGGCACAGGTAGCAGTTACTTTGATTAGCTACAGTGAGTTAAAAATTACGGTGTCTTGTTTCCACTAGGACTTTACATTGAGCTAGATGTCCTGGTGGAAAAAAACATCTCTCGTTTGCATTGGAGATGAAGTCTATGTCTAAAGACACATGGGGCCTGGTTTTCAGAAGTGCTGAGCACCAACTCCAGCCAAATCCATGGGAGCCAGTGGTGCTCAGCACCTCTGAAAAATTATGTGAAAAGAGAATACGCGAAAAACTGGAAAGGTGCAGATAATGGTTTTACTTTCTCCTCCCAATCCCCCCACAATAATCAAACTAATTTTCCTCAGATGTAAAAATAAAGAGCCCTTTACATCCTGGCAGCTACATCTACTCGCATGTAGCAGGGGCAGAGATTGGGGGGGGGGGAAATTATGAAGTTTTGCCCGCCCAAACCAGAGTTGACGTGGGGGGGGGGGTCACACAGGGTCAGGTGCCCCTATATCTCTGCCTTCCATTTAGCACAGAGGTTTTCAAATGAGGGGAGGGGTGTGTGGAGGAACACTCATGGGGACTAGGGTGACCAGACAGCAAATGTGAAAAATCGGGATGGGGGTGGGGGGGGTAATAGGAGCCTATATAAGAAAAAGACCCCAAAATCAGGACTGTCCCTATAAAATCGGAACATCTGGTCACCCTAATGGGGGCAAGCGGTGACTCCAGGCAGCTCAGGACAGCCCCACACGGCAGGACTTGGAGAGGGTGGCCAGGTGGTCGAAAAGGGAATCTGACAGTGTCCAATCAAATCTACTGACTGAACACCCAAAGTCTGTTTTTTAAATATTATAAAGTTGGCAACCCTATCTCCGAGCCCTGCCATACGGGGCTGGCCTGAGCTGCCTGGCGTCATCACTCCCCACCAAACGTTCCTCCATGCCCCATCCCCAGTTTGAAAACTTCTGAGATAAATGGAAGGCAGAAATCTGGGGGTGGCACATGACTCTGTGTGCCACCCATGTGTCATTTCTGCCCCCCCCCCAACCTAAGCCTATGACAGAACCCTCTGATCATTTCCAGAGTGACAGAAGGTGATCAGCTCCCCATTCCTAAACCAAGCAGGTCTTGGACAGGATAGGGAGTTAAAACCAGAACCAGCTGGCCAAACCCCTTTGGAAAGAGTGGGGCTGCTGTTGAAAAGGGCCTTGAATCTGAACTGTCCCGGATTGGGAGTATTTTAAACACTATGTTGATTGTGGCACTATTAAAAAGTGCTTAGACCGATAGCTCAGCCCCTGGGTCATCACGATTTTGCAGAGCCAAAGCCAGTCCTGCCCGAACTTCAGTAGATTTGGGGTGCTTTCGGGTGGGGATTGGTGAAACTCAAACTTTCAGGAAGTTCCTGACCTGCCCAGTCCCAGCCACTGTTCATTCCCCCTTCCCACCCTCGGGAGTGTTAACCAGCGAAGGGGCAGGAAACGGCCAAGGGGGAGGGGGGGTCCCTGTCTGTGGGGAAGCCAAGCTGCCCCCGAGTGTAATACCTGGTCCGCAGAGGCGGGTTGCAAAAGGCCTGGCTGCTCCCGGGTCGCCGTCTGCTCTGCGCTCTCACCTGGGCGGAAGCGAGCGGCTGGATTTTGACCGCACCTCACCGTCACCTGCAACACAGGAAATCAGCCGGGCGGGCGCCGCGTACGCACATACCCACTGCGCTGCGGGCCGCGGGCGAGCTTCGTGCGGGTCTCAGCGCAGGACAGGGGGACTCGAGGAGAGAGGACTCGGGAGGGGGAAAGGGAGGTAGGGAGAGAAATAGGGAACGCGGGGAGGAACAAGGGGTGGGAGAAGGGAGTGGAGGAGGGAGACAAGAGGGAAAGAAGGATAAGAAAGGCACAAATTATCCCAAGCAAAGGGGATGATGGGGGATGGAGAAGGGGGGGGGGAGTGAAAGAAATGGGTCCTTTCATTTCCAGCATGTAAACATGGTCTTGAACTCATACCAGAGCTGGCACTACAGCTGAGCGTCCTTTAACTAGGATCTCTCATTACCTGAATACCATATTGGCCCCTGATCCTGCTAACACTTACACACAGGCTTAGCTTTACTACCATGCCTAGCCCCATTGATTACAATGCCACTGCTCGCCATAGCAAAAGTACAAAAGTCAACTCTGGTAATATTTGTTGGTTTTCTTAAAGCCCCAGCGCCTGGATTCAGGTGGTTAGAGAAGAATCTCAGCTTTCATTAAAAAAAAAAAAAGACCTCGTGGCTGTGGAGGAACGCACCCTTAATAAAATGAACCCAAAGATTTTTTTAAATCTTATGAGTTTTAGAGCCAATCGCCTGATTTCTGGATGTTTGGAGTTGGCAATACCCTGAGCGCATGCAGGATTGGGGCCTTGGATGGAAGCTTTGTATTGTCCTTGAAAACATGATATTTCAGTCTGTCCATGGACAGTCACTCATAGTTGCCATTTGGAATTCAGAGATTCACTGACTGTAATAGGGTGACCAGATGTCCTGATTTTATAGGGAGAGTCCCGATTTTGGGGGCTTTTTCTTATATAGGCACTTATTACCCCCTACCCCCGTCCCGATTTTTTACACTTGCTATCTGGTCACTCTAGATTGTAATAAAAAGGAAATAGAAAGAGGACACAAAGCCAAGCAAAAAATTCAGAAGACTTTAGGCTGGTGACATGTTTGACAAAGAACTTTCTGAGATACCTATAAACATAGTCCATAAAAATCTGGATGGAAAGAAAATGTAGTTTTAGAAGAGGCTGTTGGAAATGGTCAATCAGATCTTCATAGTGCAACAAATCAGTAGCTAGCTAGGATTTTATGTCTGTCGTTACCTGAAAACTGCAGTTGCCTGGAACTTCACAACAGCAACATAGTTAGAACTCGCCTTGTCCTGCTTTAAAGGCACTAGCTCCTACCACTTCAACTAAAGAGGAACGGCCATTAGCCATCAGCAGCATAGGGACTTGGACACACAGTTGAGTCGTTCTGATTCTAAACAGAGAGAAGAGTGGCACACAAACATACTATATTATTATTGTTGTTTGTATTATCTTAATGCCTAGGACTCCCAGTTGTACTGTGTTCCAAAATAAAATAAATCCAAAATCGACTATTTACATTATTTGTGGTTCACAAATTGATCCCTAGTTCTTTTACATTCATGAAAATTCTCTCGTTAGCAAAGAGGCAAAGACAGGCAGAAACAAGCAAGTATTACCATTCATCTTGGATGGTAAATAATCTCAAAGGGTAAAAATTTGACCCACCGTTATAAAACCAATCTGTTTTCAGAGGTGCTGACGGGTAACTGAAGCCTTGACTTGTTTTCTTCAACACTATAATTGATAAACTCTAGATGTATGTGAAATAAACTAAAAAAGAGGACAAGGTAGGCAATATGATGTTTTTATTTGAACTACTTTGTAATAATTCTTTGCATTTCTATAGCACCTTTATCCAATTCAGCAGCTGAAAACTGATGCTGCACCAATATGACATAGTTTGAAACAGCAAGACTCTTTTTACAGTAGTGAAGTAGATCGACACTAGGGATTTGGACAGGTGCAGGTACATTGGTGCAAGAATCCCCAGTGTATAGATAAGCTCTGTATTTATTAAAATTTGTGAAGTACTCTGTGATCCTTGGATAGAAAAATGATGGCTAGAGATGACCCTGTTGGGATTTGGAATTTGTGGTTTCAGGGAGCCTGATGTCATTTCCACACTACAGTTTTTCTAATGTTAAGAAACTGTTTTTAACACAGGTTTAAATGAGTTTGGTTAAGCACATGTCATTTTGCCATTGGACATAACTGCATTGTAAACCACATTTGGAGTTTGGGTTATTTGTTTAATCTGTATTTGCAGATGTTGATTTTAAATTGTATGGTGTGAAAAACTAGTCTGGACAGGGCCTAGGTATTTACTGATGTTAATATGTTTGTCATTTATAGTGATCAATAAGAATCATTAGTTTTTTCTTTGACATTTTGAAAAGTAGAACACATTTTTATACCTTTTTGTATAATACTTGGCTGTAGGAAAAAAATGTTGTACCTTGTGGGTGTGTCAGTTAGAACCAATTATAACCTGCCTGACCTGCCATAGCACTAAAATGTCTAGCTGCATTTTATTTGTCCTGGTAAAATGGCCATACTGGGTCAAACCAAAGGTCCACCTAGTCCAGTATCCTGTCTTCTGACAGTGGCCAATGCCAGGTACTCCAGAGGGAATGAACAGAACAGGTAATCATCAAGTGATCCATCCCCTGTCACCCATTCCCAGCTTCTGGCAAAAAGAGGCTAGGGACACCATCCCTGCCCATCCTTGCTAATAGCCATTGATGGACCTATCCTCCATGAACTTACCTAGTTCTTTTTTGAACCCTGTTATAGTCTAGGAGATTTTGCTTAAAATTAACCCCCAGTGTCCAGGAACTTCTCTCCCACCAATGAGCAATGTTTGGGTTGGAGGAAAATATGAGGCAGATACACATTTTGCTCCTCTCCATCCACAATCCCGCCAAAAATTAGAGACTTTTTAAAAAAATGACATTCTAAAAACAAACCTCTACAACAATCATAAATCACGTTGGTGGGTTTGTTTTTTGTTTCATTTTTTTGGCCTGCCCTCCAGTTGGTTAGTTTTCTTAACTTTCAGGGACTGGCTGCCTCTTCCCCTCTGTATGTGTTTTCCCCCACCCCCACATATTTGTGTCTGAAATGCGCATTAAAAGGATGGAGAGAAAAACTCCCTGTTTGTAAGTGAGGGGAACTTCTTGTTCTCTCTGCTAGTCCCTGGCCTGTTGTCAGAAGTGGATTCAAACCCACCTCCAGACTGCATCTGGAACACAGCACCTTAGCCAGCCTGACAGCTCATCCCTGACTCTGTGGGAAGGGGGATGGAATTAATCTCCCTCCTGTTCCCAGCCCCCTTCCTTCTCATTCTCCCTACCTTTGTCCCCAGCCCCTTCTCCCTCTCCAGCCTCTCCTCTCCCTTGTTATTCTTCCTCCAGCCTTCACTCCTCAGCTCACTCGCCTGCCCACCCTTCCATGTTCCCACAATGCAAAGCGCTTCGGGCACCGGCAGCCGAGCTTCCTAACCATAGAGAAGAGGGAACGTCTTGAGTGAGGGCAACCCAGCTTCCTATACTTTAATACAATAGGGACGCGGTAGCCATCTTGAGTAGGGGCAGCCTGACTTCCACCGGTAGAGGAAGCAGAGGAGGCTCGGCAAAGGGCACGGCTTGCCTTCAGCGCGATTGACACTACACGGCAGCCATCTTTGATGTGGGCAAAGTACCCAGCTGCACACTGAGCCGCCCTTCCCCGCGAGGCCGCCTAGGGCTGAGGCCGCGGCGGCGGCCCGGCTTGGTTTCCATGATGCTGGCCGGCCGGTCGAGGCGACGGCTACTGCTGCTGAGGAGGCGTCAAGCGGCAGCCCGGTTGCTGGGCGTCCTGTGGCTGGCGTGTGTCGCCGCGGAGGGCGTTGCCGGCGGGGAGCCCCCACTCAAGTGCGACGAGCTGAGGCTGGGGCAATATCCTGAGTCTGGCTGGGGCTGCGGTGGGGGGCTCGGTTACCATGGTGACGCCTGGTCTGTGTGTCTCTCTCTTTGTGGCTGCTCCCGCCTGTGTCCCAGGGCCAGCCCCTGGTGCTCCTGTCAAAGGGAGTGTGGCGAGGCTTGTTAGCGCCCCCCCATCCCATGGGATTGCCCCCCTCCCTCCCCGGCTCTTCAGGCCACTCTGAGGTAACCGCAGCTGAGATCAGCCTCCGTGCTGGGTGTGAGGGGTGCAAGATCTTTGCTTGGGATGGTTTGGGGGTCTCTTCTTCCCGCCCCCATTAGTAGTGAAATTTCAGAGGCTCTGGATAGTGACAGTAGCTGAGGAGAGTGACTGAGTTGGTTAATAGGGGAAGTGAGAGATTCTTTCCTGGGGTGTTTGGTTGGGGTTTTGGGGGGGCGGGAGAGAGGGGTCTCCCTTTTGTTTTGTTAGCATTCAAATCACCTGGAGGTGATGGTTCTGCAGGACATAATTCATTTGCAAAATTTGGGAGGAAAGAGATCATTCTGTAGTTTTGAATCTGCAGACTGCGGTAGGTAGAAATATGGGGGTGACATATTCCCGTTGGGAAGCTATTGACTGTTTAAAGGGGGTCACATCTGGCTCCCACCTTCTCCCTCCAATAAGTTAATTGTTGATAGTTTTTGACAATTGCTGACATTAATGGAGATCAAAAGGGGAAGGTAAGCAAGGAAAAGTTGACTTCCCATCCTGCTTTATTTGGCTCTTGGAGTTCAGTCTTCGGTAATATAAGTAGGAAGTTTTACAATTCAGTCCCTGTTCAGGATTAGTCTGGTGCAGATGTGTGAGAGTTTATGATTTTCAAATGATCACTTTACATTCTGTTGGGTGGTTTTGGTAGGTGGAACCTCTTTTTAACCAAATACTTGACAGCGAATCAGTCATCACTTGATAGACTACTGGTGTGCATTGACATTCATCCTAAAAAGCAAGGAAATAAAAGCTGGTTTTGAGGTGCTTGATTTCCCTCTTTTCATAGAGAAGGTTTTTTTACTCTTTTTATAAGAGTTAACCACTTACATTTCCTTTAGGCGATATTGGTAACAGCATTCAAACGTGCAGCCTAGGGAAATGTGTTTCTGTATTACAGGAACTCCTCACTTAAAGTCGTCCCGGTTAACGTTGTTTCGTTGTTATGTTGCTGAGCAATTAGGGAACATGTTCGTTTAAAGTTGTGCAATGCTCCCTTCTAACGTCATTTGGCAGCTGCCTTCTTTGTCCACTGCTTGCAGGAAGAGCAGCCCGTGGCAGCTAGCTGGTG